AGAGAGAGAGAGAGAGAGAGAGAGAGAGAGAGAGAGAGAGAGAGAGAGAGAGAGAGAGAGAGAGAAAGCGCGCGACTATCAAAATTATCTTTCACGTGTGTGCGTACGGCATCGAAAACCCGAGACTCAGCGAGATTCATACCGGTCCTTCAACACGTAAGCGTTACAACTCACTCGAGATCCATCCCTCGTCCCTCTAGAAGGCTCATCGGGGGCGTTTCAAGGTGCTGTTTTGCTGCCACCACCGTTAATCACTAGCACCAACATCACCAACACCTTCCTCGTGTCGACACTCTGTTGCACTCGTCGACGCGCACGCACCGTCGTCGAGACGTCGACATCGCTACTGTTCTTTTCGGCTACCTTCTGCGCGACACTCCCCGCCTTGGAGAATCACTCCATTCCCGTTCCGCTCTGTTCCCGGAGGCTCGAAGCGACGAGGTCGCGGCGAAAAGCAGGACAACCATCCCCGCCGCCCGACCACCCCGCTCCTCCGATACCTCCAACATCTCTCACCCCCGACGCCCTACTTTTCCTCTCGACGAGAGCGCGCTCGCTTCCCGTCCCGTATGCACGTAGTACGAACGCACGTATGTATGTAGACCCAGAGACTACCGGAAACGACACAGTACTTACCCCAGTCTCGTGTCCTCCATTGCCAACTATCGTACGATGCGATCGATCCCCTTTTCCAGCTACTCCATTCTGTGTATTCCACTCCTCGTGTGTTGTGTCCGGTTCTTCCTTTCTTTTCTCTATTTTTCCCGCTCTCTTCCTCTCGTTTTCACACTCTCGCGGCCTCTCGGGCCCAACAGCTTTCTAAGGTGACATCCCTGCACCCTCACGTCTTACATCTTGACGGTACGCGCCAGCTGTGCTTCGTAGGAGACGAGCTCTCTGGCTCTTCCGCAACAGCACACCATGACCATTCGCGTCGTATTCCACTTGTGCTCGTGTGACGTTGCGCACGCTCGTCATGAACCTCAGGGGTGTGCTTACACCGTTGATTGCTGGTGAACGACGAGAGATGATTTGGAAAAAAAGCGCGCGCATGCAATATATACATACATGCATACGTACATTCCTTGTCTCTAATAAATCCCCATCAATTTTGTTTAATCATATTAATATATCTAATTTGAGAAAAATCACATTGTAATGATCACATGTACGGGTTTGTGAAGTGCTCTTTTTTTTATCAGAATGAAGGTAAACATTGGAATAAATAGGAAAAAAATTAAATGTCAAATGATTTCTATGGAGTCTCCTGAGGTTTCTTGTGTCGCGATCGTTCGTTTGGCAAACATGAAAAAAGTGAAAGCCTCCTCCACACCCATTCTATTCCGTCTATTCAGTCTATACAGTGTATCATCTATCAAATTAATTAACATCGACGACACTATTACGTTTCAGAGAGACGTCTCAACTTTTCGTTTGATTGAAACAATTTGCGCGCCGATTTCATGCTAGTGGCGTCCTCTGGAGGTGACTAAACTGAATTCTCTTATCAACGGTATGGCGCGCATCGGTAAAGTCGAGGCCATCGTGAATCGATAATCGGGAGACAAGCAGTTTCGCACGTTGTCCGTCCGCGTTGGTCGATCAGCTGCGAGTTTGTCAACGGTATGTTTTTAAAATGAAAATTCTCATGGTGGAAAGGTGACGTCAAGGAATGCACGTATATACGAATATTGCTTTTGACACGTAAGTGTCACGCGAGCCAATGAACTGTCAGTGAGTAGAGTGGCGCGGTGTATACGACTGTGTGAAATAATAGCGTAATCGCTGTAACACACCGGTGTAACATATTCGATCGAGCATAAACAGTTGCACGCTTGCCACCGATCTGAGGGTTATTGGAAAACTAGCGTATACGAGGATAATGTCGTTTGTACATTTATTGTTGTGATACGCGTAACCTACAAGGATTATCTTAAAAAAATGCAGTGGTTCTCGTTCAGCATTATACTTTCCGAAATATTTCTAGCATATATCATTTATTCGATTTATTCGTTGTCGTTGCTGTTTGTATCGCCAACCTGTGAGGATGGTAAGCCGTGTCTTAGATCCTATTTGAACGAGCGACCGCAATTGAATCTTTACATCTATAGCTCTGTCTCCAAGAAATCCAGGGATGTCGATCTTGCGTACACGGCGTATGATTTCGATTACACTCGAGCACAAACCATGTAAGCATCACTTTGATCCATCTAGTCGATATTATATTCATTTTCTTCAAGTCTTCAGTCAATTTGTTGAGAGCTCCAGTTTTTTATAATTCATCTTTATTGACACATGTCGGAGTTTTCTCCTTCCTTTTCATAAACTGTTTCCGTGGGCGTTAAGGCACTAAAGTTTCACCGTAGCATTGTCTGTCTCATTCTCATGAAGATAGGATTGAAACAAATATGAATTAAATCAGAATTATGTTTAATACTATCTGTTGAAATAACCTTACGAAGAGCTCGGTGTGCATATAAGTTTAATGGATATGTTCCTTTCCTCCAGCCCAACAACATTGAATATTCCACGCAAAACACAGGATAATGGAACGCTATTTCTGCATATACTATTAATACCTGCATTCATAGATCAGGACAGATCGTTTATTGATTTAAAGAAGGTAAGCTAAAGACACATTTTTATTCACTATCTCTATGCTTTTGTCTATAGTAGGTTCCAAATTTCTACTGTTTCTTGTCTATTTTTTGCATTTGTTTAGTCTCTAATTGATCTCTTATCAATTGCTGTATATATGTTGCAGGACATGTATACGTCGTATACTACGATTAAAATGACACAGTACACAGTACCTGAAGCCGAAGTATTCAAGTTGTTGGGTGAAAAGAATCCCAGTGCAAAAGATACTTTTGTGCGTCCAGTTTCACACATCAAGAGTCGCGTGACATTCACGATAATGACGGACGACGTTATGCTTCCTCTGTACAGTATGCCTATTGAACTCGTCGATCACATAAAGTATACAATTTTCTCAATTTATTAATTGCACTGTACGTGTTTTAAATTGGCAGAAGCGAATTTTCGTTTTTATTTGTAGGCTAATTGATAAGATGAAATTTTTGCCGATTGTTAACTGTGACTTTCTGCAAACCCGTCAACGAGATCTTCAACGGATCATGAACAACGCGATGAACGTTACAGTGGAGTATTCGCCAGTGTCTTTAGGAAAGCTGAGATTGGTGTTACACGTGCAAACAGCCATAGCAAACCTGAAGAACATTGGCATTTCTGACAAGGACGTCGACGAAGTGAAGGGCATCTTTGCGGACACTAACATCTATCTATTAGGCGGTACTGTCTTCATCGCAGGTGTGCATGTGAGTATAAGTCACTTGCGCTTATAACAAGAAAGGCGTATTATCCACACAGTGAAGTTGAAAGAAAGAAAAATCTTTTCTTTATATGCATTGTCCGTTACAGTTGTTGTTTGACTTTCTCGCTATCAGAAACGATGTTAGCTTTTGGCGGAAGAAGAGCAACCTCATAGGTCTCAGCAAGTGGACTGTGATGTGGCGCGCATTCAGTCAGACTGTAATTTTTCTTTACCTCTGCGACGAGGAGTCTTCGTTGCTTGTTCTCATTCCGACTGGTATCAGCACCGTTATCGAGGTACGTTTGCATAAGCAGTGTCATGCATTAATTCAGCATGTACTGTACACAGACATATATCAATTAAAATACAGTATGAGACACAATAGACTAATTAATATGTTAACATATTAGAACACAAAGTCGTCACACACATATACATAGAAAAAAGAAAAGAGGAATAATTATATCGACAATAGAATTCTTTTTCTTGTACTCTGCTTGCAAAATCGACAGAAAAATACACGTGACAAGACTTGTAACGTTACATAATAATAATCTAATATTGATATTAAATTTTTTTTCAAACATATATTTTGTCTTTAATGTAGTTGTGGAAATTAAAAAAGATATCGAGAATGGAACTGATTACGTGCCATGGCATTTTGCCAAGGGTGCGATTTAAAACCGACGGCATCAACGCGGCGGAAGTAAAGACCAGAGAGTTCGATGCCGAGAGTATGCGTTATTTGAGTTATCTGTTGTATCCGATAATTATTGGTGGTGCAATTTACTCACTTCTTTATCAGCCACATAAAAGGTAAACGATGACTTATCAATCACATTATACACACAAACGATAAGATCTTACATAGGATTGGTAACAAGTGAATTGTTTCGGGATTATAGTTGGTACTCTTGGACCATAAATTCCTTGGTCAACGGAGTTTATGCTTTCGGATTTCTCTTTATGCTGCCGCAATTGTTCGTTAATTACAAATTAAAGTCGGTAGCACATCTGCCGTGGCGGGCGTTTATGTACAAAGCGTTCAACACGTTCATCGATGACGTGTTCGCTTTTATTATAACGATGCCGACTGCACATAGAATAGCCTGTTTCAGAGACGATGCAGTCTTTTTGATTTATCTGTATCAAAGATGGTAAGTACTTAATTTGCGTAACTTGATTGACGTATGTTTGGCACTCGAACACATAGATACGCATAGAAGCGTTTCAAAACAGGAATAGAAATTCATCAGTGTTACCCACAGGTTGTATCCAGTAGATAAGTCACGCATGGATACCGATACGGTAACAGAGGAAACCATTGACTTTGGTGACGCCAGTAAGAAAACAAACTAATACACAAGCGCAACGATCAGTAGAATATTCGTACAGTTATTTGTTGTCATCGTTCTTCCTCACGGCCTAAGACTTACGATTAGCATATTAACGCGTTTACAGTATGCCGGGAAATTGTATTTATACTATTATTGTGGAAGTTTAATTAATACACAGTTGTTACAAGAGAAACATATTTACTCTGTAGGTACTCTTTTGTTTCGTTTTTTCGTATCACCTGTAGCGTGTCGTTAGCTTCCCTTTAGACTTTCCCAGTCGAATCTTAATCAAATCTTGATGTTATTTCCTTATCGACGAATCGGTGCAACAGTGTTATCAGCATTAGTAACTTGTTCAACGGCCGGCACGATAAAGGAACAGTTAGAAGAAGATTATGCAACAGTTAATATTGGACATTGGTAGGAAAAAACTGTGTTAGATAACGGTTCATCGTTCATACATTCGTGCGAGAGCTCTTTTGGTGGCAGTCACGCGTCATCGTGCTATCTGGAGGTACGTGATTATTATACTTTAAATGGGTGTTATTGGCGCGCGTTCTAAGAGTTATAATCTAAAGTGATAAAATTTGTACGACCAATTGCAAAAGAATTTCGCTCTATTTGATATACGATAAGAGAGAGAGAGAGAGGGAGAGAGATCTTTCTGTACGAAAAACAATAGCAGTACCATGTCGGGGTTTTGCAATGACATAGCAGATAGTCCGAGAGATATTCTCGTGACGAACGGTGACATTCGCGTAATTCGATCGTAGTAGTAATCAGATATACTCATATTGCAGACGTGAACGATCTGACGTATCGTTGGTGGATCAACGATGGAACATATCATATGTTGCATACAAATCATAATACTGATCGTCCTTCCTATTTGGATATATCTCTGGTTCGACAAGCGCAAAATACATCAACTCTCGCATTATCTAGGTTTTGGTAAGCCATGTTCAAATGATGTTACATAACAGATATATCTTTCAAGCAGAATCATAAGATGACGGTCAAATCTTTGTTTACTTTATTCACATCGATTATAATATAAAAATATATTTGCAAATAACGCATTACAATTTTGAATATGTATTTGCAAGTGTACTGATACGCGCGTCCGTGTGTGTGTGTGTGTGTGTGTGTGTGCGCGCCCGCGCGTAGAAACGCGCGTGTATGTATGTGTATCACATAATCGCAGTTAGTATATTCGTGATAAATTTCACGCGAGAGAAACATGCGCGCGCGTAATAGTCAGTTTAACTCATAAAGTTAATGATACGTTTACATCAAAGTCTCGTTATGCTTATGCGAATCTTATAGATATAGAATTTTCTCTGAAATTATGGTGGGCACGCTGGTGCATCTCTAAGGAGAAAAAGGCGAAAAATAAATTTAATAACGACGAGATTACGTCCAATTTGAAAGAGATATTCAATCCATGCCCGGATAACCCACGAATTATCATGGATGAGAATGTGAGTACAAGCGAGTTTCCGAATGTTGTGCTAATTACACAGTAAAATGGATGCTTAGTATTTTTTTGTGATATCTAGAGTTGCGACAGTGTATTTTTCTATGGTGTGGATCAGAAAGGTAATTCGTTATTTGTTAAGATGAATCATAGAGGATATCGTATAACGGAATCAGCTTTGCAAGTGACCTTGTCGGATGGCCGAGTTTATGTGTTACCCGGTGAGCTTTGCTAGTTCTAATAATAACCTTTTGTCGAATAATACATGATATTTTGGAGTATGCTTTGGAAATGTCGATTGCATTTATAATAAAGTATAATGACATTGTAAACAGATCACCTTCATACGGTTGCGACAGACGGTACTGGCCAGAAATGGTCTTCTTCGGGTCTAAAAATTGAGATATTGGAACCACGAAGACGTTGGAGAATTACTTACAACGGTCTCCTCCGTAATCAATGCTTTAACGACGTACTTAGCGACGACAACGTGGAACATATTCGTTTAAATTTTATGTGAGCAACGCCATGCGTTATTAATATAAAGAAAGATTCAACAAATCTATTATTGTAATTATTTTGTAGATTTATCGGGAGTTCTCCGTTTGAATGGCCGGGTGACTGGAGCACTCATTTGCACGCGGCCGCTTTGGCGCACGAGCCATGGAAAGGTCCTGAATGGATGCACAAAATGTAAAATTCCATCAGTTAATCAATTAGTTAGTTTTGCTGATTGTCCATTACGGATCGCTTTAGCGACTTGAATACGTAACGCATCTCCAAATGCTGTTTCTCTTTTTGTTATCGCAGCAAATTACTGGACTATACGGGTTTTGATCAATGGGGCTCAGCCATCGGACAAGTAACGTTCAAAGATTCCACAACCAGTGCATTGTACTTACGTGGGTTTTGTCAGCGACGTTGGAGCAAACACGAAAGTGATCAATTTCATCGAACGGTCACATTTCTCGGCGTAGCAGCATCAGGAGCCATGTACTACCTTGGCGTGAGCAGAACCAAAAATAGTTTTTCATAGTAAGACGACAAATATACACAAGTATACGAAGTAAAATATATAGCGTCGTTATTTTTTTATAAAATTTCTTGTACGCTAAAGAATCGGAGATTTGGTAATTTGATAATTGACTTACAACGACGGCGGCGGCGGCGGCGGCGGCGACGGCGACGACGACGACGACGACGACGACGACGACAACGACAACGACAACGACAACGACGACGACGACGACGACGACGACGACGACGACATTTTTATTACTAATTAATGTAACTAAAATGTAACGATAATGTTAATACAACGATACGTTGTAGCATGCAATTTGGCCATGTGAACAATACGAACGAAACGCAATCTAAAATCAACTGGACGGATCTGGAAATGGAGGACTTTGAGAAGCAAGGAGATTATGTGCCCGCGAACTACAGGATTAAATTTCGAGGTTCTATTTTTGGAGCGTTCATTATTAGTACACTTAAGCACAATTTGCATCGTAGCGCATCGTAAAGTAATATTAATGCGTATGCCGTGTTTTTCCAGCGGATGATGCCGAATACGATACCATTATTAATCACACAGGAAGCGACGCGATAAATTATTACAATGGACAACCGTGGCGTTGGGCGATCACAGTACGCAATTTGCGTATAAAACTGAACGGCAGTAAAGGTACATGCAAATTGCAAGATTACACTATCGCGCGCGAATAATCCCTTAAATCCGTAGTTTGGGGGATAAAGAAGGAAATAAAAATTATATTTCAGCTTCAAAAAATTTCATACTTTTCTTTTTTACATACAATTTCCTTCTTTAAATGACCTGGTCGTTCGTGCTATAGCGAGACAAGTTCTCGATTTGTGCATATAGGTGCTGGAGTAATGATTACGTGCCATCCGTACATCGGACCGAATGAAATCAAAGTATCGATTGCGAGAATTCAGCACTTGAAACGACCAGAAGCGTTTGTGCAGAAGTCTAGTTTCATCCTACACTTTGCTGATAAACAATGTCAGAATGAGAGTGTCGTTGGTGGAAAGGGATATTCACTTGCTGCTTTAACGTCCATCACGACCAATGATGTACGATAGTTTGTGTACTATGACGTACAGTTATTTAATTCAAGATTTGTGATGATAAAAATGTTAATTTCGTTTTTGTCATAGTTCGTGATACCCCGAGGCTTTTGTGTAACGAGCTTTGCTTTGGAGTGGCAATTGCGGCATGACAAACAATTACGAGACATGATTGCTGATATAGTAGATATCAGTTGCGGTAAAAAGGAGGGGGATCTTAAAAATTATTGTGAAAAGTAAGCATTTAAAAAAGACGAGTGTAGTTGTCGTCTTTGGTAAGATAGACAGAAAGAGAGAGAGAGAGAGGAGGATGGGAGGGAGCGGGGGAAGGAAAATAAAGAAACAAATCATAATTTGATTAAGTTGCAAACACGTATTCGCAATTTATGAAATCTATTTTTTTTTTTTTTTTTTTTTTTTTTTTTTTAGAACAGTATTTGTCATTCAAAACACATCTGTCGAGGAGCAAGTGAGACAAGCTATACTGGAGGCTTTGAAGAAGTTGGAGTCAGACGACAAGAATAATAGAAACGAAACAAATATAGACAATCGATACGCTGTGAGATCCAGCGCTATTGGAGAAGACAGCGAGGAAACTTCGGCCGCTGGTCAGAATTCGACGTATTTAGGTGTACGCACCGCCGATAACGTTGTTGAGAGCGTTGCCAAGTGTTGGGCTAGTCTGTTTTCATATCAGAGCGTCGAGTACAGGTTATAATTCTCTCTTCTTTTTTTTTTCTAGTCCTAGTGAATCGTATTCAATTAATTTCGCCATATTACAGACGACAGAATGGACTGCCGATAAAAGCGTTTATGGGCGTCTGCGTTCAGAGAATGGTCGATGCGGAAGCGGCTGGTGTTATGTTCACCAGGCATCCCACGACTGGAGATCCGTCCAGCATTATTATTACAGCCAATTACGGCTTGGGAGAGGTATCATTGATAAATGTCGTTTCGATGGGTCATTCCAACTACATAAAATTTACAATAGATGGTGATCAGAACGCGCCTAAAAACACTGTCCTAATATCCTAATATTTCTCTCATCTTATAGACGGTGGTATCAGGGACGGTCGAGCCGGACACCTTGACGATTCACAGAAAATGGGACAATTCCCTAACTGTAAGTGCTACGGTGCTGGGTAATAAAGGACACAAGATATCATTGAGCGACAACGGCGTGATCATGAATAATCTCAGTAAACGAGAAACTTTGAAAATCTCGATAACGGACGCAACCGCTCTACGACTGGCCAAGATAGGACTGCATTTGGAATCTTTCTTTGGATCTGCTCGAGATGTAGAATGGGCAGTTGTCGGCGAGTATATCTATCTGCTACAAGCACGACCCATCACCACTATCAACGCTTGGACGGACTTTGAGCTAATACACGAGCTAGATTCGGGTGTGCCCGCTGACGTCGATCTCATGACTTTCGCCAACGTTGGCGAAGTATTGCCGCGCCCTGTTTGTCCCTTGTCGATCGATACCATTTTAAGAGTTTTAAATCTGTCGATAGGCTTGAAGAGTTTCGGTTACGATTGCAATTATCTCCATATGGTCGGTATGAGATGCGCTATGAATTATTGCATCGTAAGTAGAAACTTGCATTTCACCGATTTGCGTCACTAACAACGGATCAAAGAAATGATCATTTCTTTTTCCTTGTTTTTTCGTTACTAGACATCCTTGCGAACTATTGGTAAAAAGATTACGATGGCGAATAAAATGGCGGACATAGCCGTTTGCGGCCGCGTGATAACGACTCCTGAAGTGCATAAGACCGCAGTGGAGAAACTCGGTGTCGCCGGCGTAAAGCAGAAGATGCACGAAATCAGCAATATGTTCAAATGGGCATGGATAAACGAGCGAATTGTAAAAGATGCTACCAACGTGTATCGCAAATACGAACTAAATGCCAACGAATTCGAGACAGCCTCTGAACTATATAATGTTATTAACAAGAAATACGAAGAGATCTTTTTGGTAAGTTGACATATTGAGAATTGATCCAACTGATGATAAAATAAAAGTAACGATTCCCAGACACGTACCTAATAATCCTGGATATTCTTATTGTTTGTTGTCTTTAAATACGGATATTTAAAGTATGTATTTCCCAATACAGAATGTGTATATACTCAATACTTGTGTGTATATATATTTTTTTTATGTTGAAAGTTTAAGTATTTATACTTAAAAATCAAAACAATAAGAATGTTCAGAATTAAGTATATGTCCGGGCATTGGTACTTTTATCTTAATTCGTGCATCATGGTGTCTATCGTATCCTATTTCGATACGACGTTATATGAAATTTTTCTAAAACTTACATTCCATTTTATTGTAAAGGCTGCGTTACATGAGTTAAAAAAAAAAAAAATATATATATATATATATTCGCTTATACATTATATTGATTTAAAATACTCTTATGTTTTAGCTAGGAATGTATCATACTCACACATCGAGAGTGAGCGTCTGTTATCAGATGCTAGCGATGTCGCTTTTGACGGCGAAAAGTGAAGATATCACACCCGAACATATCGCGGATATTGCTATTCTGTTGAGTTCCTGCACCGATGTTATCAGCACCGAAGTGCCGATAGCTCTCGGCAAAATAGCAGCGTGCATTCGGAAAAGTGGCAAGGCGGAAAACTTTGCCAAGGTCGAAACAGCAAGTGCTGTAGACTGGTTAAAGTCTAATTGTCCTTTAGCTGCGGAAAAACTACAGGCCTTTTACGATAAACACGGTCATAGATGCGTTCAGGAACTGGATTTCATTTCGGAACCGTGGATACTTAAACCTGACAGTATCATTAGCACGATACAAGTATGAGATAACTCACTATTCTCGTTATTTTTGCGATGAGTGTACGCGTGTATATAATTTATTTGTTTTCATATTACTTTTAGTCACTGGCAACATCCATCGAAGAGAATTACGTGAGCAAAACGCTCAGCGTTCAAGAAACCATAGCGTCTCTGAAAACACCCATGCTCTCGTTCACCAAGTGGGTTCTACAAAAGGTGATACCCCTTTCTCGTAAAGCTGTTACCCGCAGAGAAATGACGAAAAACTTTGCGGTGTCCGCTGTACATAAAATGAGAATGGCTTATAGACGACTTGGTACTTTGATGGTGAAGGAAAATCACATACCCGATGAAAGTCTCATATTTTTCCTGACGAACCATGAGATTGCGCAACTTTTGGACAACCATTGCAATCCATTAATCGTGCGAAAGTAAGTTCATTGTTACTGAGATATCTATCATATCGTATTGTACTATTGTGCCGTAGCATTCTGTTTTCTCTTCTCTGTTTTATTATTCTTTTTTTTTATACAATTTTGCTTGTAATCTTATAGGGCGTTACGTAGAAGGAAACTTTATCATCAAGTATCAAAGGTGGAGTATCCAGAGTTTTGCGTCGGTATGCCCATGCCAATACAGGTTTGTCGTTGAAAGTTCTCATTAATTCAATTACTGTGTTCCTTTGTTTTTTTTTTTATCGTATTCTCTCGAGTTTACGTGTGAAATTTCTCATTACAGAAAACACTTGACGCCGCATCTTATGAAAGCAGCACCAAAGTTGAAGGTACCTCGGTTTGCGGCGGTTCTATAATGGCCAGAGCATGCGTAATAACGGATCTGTCTGAGGCGAAAAGTATACAACACGGAGATATTCTGATCACACATTGTACCGACATCGGTTGGAGCCCGTACTTTCCGCTATTAGGCGGCATCGTAACGGAATTAGGTGGTCTTATAAGTCATGGTGCTGTCGTGGCGCGAGAGTATGGTCTTCCTTGCATCGTTGGAGCCAAACATGCAACGCAAATTTTTCAAACGGGTAATAATCATAGCTACAATTTGCATATATCATGTCAAATAAATAAAACTTGTATATTTTCTGAATTACCTGTATCGATATTTCTGCAAGAGAAATATCTTTAACTTATTGTATATTAATCTCAATCTTATGTGAATAACACGACGTTTCTCTATTTTTAGGTGACACTGTATTGCTAGCTGCGGATGTTGGTACGTTGCAATTAATTGAGAAGGTCTAACATATAGCATCTCTTTCTCTCGTCCAACTTCCTGCTTCTCCTCCTTCTCTTTCTCTCTCCTTTTTTTACACACATTTGTTATTTTATATATATACATATATATATAACGGTCGTACATTTTCTTTTTTTATTACTCGAAGCTTCATGTGCGAATTTTATTGTGCTTTTACTTTACTCGTGCATTTTGGCTTTTATCACGTATTATCACGTAAGAGATGGAAGAGACGACATCGTGGACAGCGAGAAAGTCTGTTCTACAACGGACGCTGAACGTAAGTTGCGGCAGGGATAAATCAGGTTTAAGTTTTTGCGTTCCGTGTCCATTGTATAGTATATCGCGTAGATAATTCATATATTGATAGAATGTTGAATAAATTATAACACATACCCGCTGATCGTCAAGATACTTTGGTCATTGCGCGTTATACGGTGGTAACGCGTTCGGGATCTGCTGTCAGGTAACGAATATTTTCCGTTCCTTCGCTGACAAGACACAACAGTTGTAGTCGCATGCACGTAGTGATCTTTGACAAAAGGGCGTCTATTCGCGTGTGATCTTCCCTGTTCGCTGGTTGCGGTATCGCGTCCAGAGCTTCTTCGAAAAAACTTCTGTTTCGCGCAAGATGGGCGTTTAGATCATAATCAATTTTAATTTGATAAACTTTTCTGTTGTTTAAAAGACGGTTCTTACCTCGCTCTGCTCGTACTGTAAGCCTGCAGAGCGTTTCTCAAAAGTATTATGTCCGTTCGTGCTTGAATAACTCCAGCTGGACGAAACTGCGTGACGCACGACATGAGCCGTGCAAGTTCCTCCGCTATAGTCTCCACTATGTGAGACAGAATCCGCTCCAACAACGCCGGCGCAACTCGGCGTACCTACAGAGAGAAGAAGAAAATGTAAAAAAAAAAATCTCACCAAATATGATAATATATTCTGAACTTTGCGCCACGCGATGAAAATTCGATACCTCCGCATGGACCGCGATTAAGTTTGCCAGTATCTCTTGGGCGTACGGCTTTAAATGCGTCGGCTCAGCATCGAAGTCCCATTCCAAACCGCCCAAGTACATGCTAGGTTCAATCGTACCAACAAGCGGATCGCAACGTCGTTCTAGATATGCATCCAGAACGGCGTTATCCAGCGTCTTTAACTGCGTCCAATCTGAATTCCATCCGACCGCGGTGGATAATTCCGGGTAGCCTTGGACTTTTAGAAACTCGCCAATTCTTGGTAAAACGGCATTTAGTGTGTATCGTATATTGCTCAGCGATATTAAAAGACACTGCTCCCATGTCTGTGTATGTGTAATGAGAAATTTACAATGGTTTTATAATATACAAAAAAGAATGAGAGAGAGAGAGAAAAAAAAACTCATACATGTAATCTTTATTAAGCGTTGTAGCGCGGCAAATTCATGACTTACCGGTCCTTGATATTTGTTGGTTTTGCTCTTGTAACCGGATGGTGAACCAATCAATTGTGAAACTGACGTTTCATCATTATCCATAGCTTCCTCGCAACCGCTAAACGCCAATTGTTGTAGACATCGCGTAAACGACGTAAATAACGTTTTAATATTATTGTGATAGAGCATTTGGTGGGCCGTATTATTGAACAGAGGCCCTTCTCTTGGACCACAGGCGACTATCGTCTCACGCGCGTGCTTCGATATTTCCAAAATAATCTCCTCGAACAGGTACGGCTGTTTGATATACAAGATGATCATATGATTATAGATTCATAGTAAAAATAGAATACGCTCAAATTACAAAGTTACTATATTTTTTACCAATTTTGTAACGCCACCGTCTTCGTTTAGATATTCTATCTGCCATATTTCCTTTCGGCTTAGAGCCGTTATATCATCCGCTCCTTGTTTAAAGAGAGCAACCAGACATTGTATTCTGTTATACAGGAAAAAAAAGTCGGTTATATAAAGGAACTGAATTGATTGTTCGTAAGTAGCTACAGTTTGAATACCTCAAATCGAGTATAAACGATCCGAAAATATCGAGGGCATCGCTAGGCAAATCCAGATGTATCAGAGACGCGTACATTTGCCTGACGCAACGTAAAATGTGTAGAAGCCACGGTGCTTCCACGTCGTGACTGCATATATTTTTCATAGCCTCCATGGCATGTTGCATACTCGATAAAACTAAATTCTGTCATAAACAGTCGTGTATTTTGGGATTATATTCGGAGTATCAAGTTGAGGAAGCAGCTATTTTGCCTCTTTTCTCCGGTCTGTTTGATGTAAAGGGACTTGAGTATATAATGTTCATACCTTAAAGTGACTTTGCTTTTCTACATCTACTGCCACGTGTAGTTGTCCCGTGAAGTAACTTTGTCCCAATCTCCATAAGTCTGGCAATTGTTCCACTACGATATCGCAAACTGCTTCGACACACAAGATTTGTGATGGTGAGCTGTTACAATTATTCTTCTGCAAATGCTTAATATTTGTCGATGTAGACTTGGACGATTTGTTCGTATCGTCGCTATTAATCTTGGCCGAGTGTGTGTCTAGATGCTCATGTACAGCACTAACGATACTTTTCTCCAGATAATTTGCATGTGAAACTGAAATATATAAAAATTCGCAAAACATCATGTAAACTTGGGAGTAACATGTTAGATTGTTCTTTAGCGCACCTATTGCATCCCACGCTGGATCGCCCTCGACATCGAGATTGACGAGGTTTCTGATGATCTTCTTGCGCTCTTCCAAACTGAACGGCATCTCTTCCAATTTGTTTCGTAATAATACTTTAAAGTTACTAATTCTATCATCAATTTCCTTCAGTACTTTCCTAAAAACTTCCACTTCTGTATTCTTAAAGAGATTCTTAACTCTGGCATAGTCGTTAATCACCAGATCGTAATTGCCACGCTTGATGTTCCTTTCAATGTTTATTGGCATACAGAAGAGAAACTTGTAACGTTGCATTACAGCCAGTGCGTTACGCGTGGCGTCCGCTCTATCCCTTCTTGCCAATACATCGTCAAATAGCTTGTTAGCCTCCGACATGGATTGTTTAATAGCTTTCTCCAATTTCTCTGTAGAATCGTTACCGTAGCTTTTCATATCTGCTTCAAACTGGTCCTTTAGTGACATTATTGTATCAAGTTGCTCCATCACTGCTCCTACATTAGCCTGTTTCATATATAACTTTGTGATTGTGTATAATCTTATAGAGTTGCATCAACAACATAATTGGAGAACATAGCTTATTTACCTTAAGAAATGACAGTTGCCCCTCTTTTTGGGAGTTGACTTTTCTTCTGAGATAAGCCAGGCCGGCTTTCAAATCTTCTAAAGTGGTGGCATGATGATGCTGTAATAAAAACCACCCAGGATGAAACTTTTCGCTCGTCAGATCTCCACTGCCATCTCCAAACAGTTCGATCAATTCGTCCTCAGGAAACTTTTTACTTTAGGACAAAATATTGCGACTATACCATGATATAATTTGCAATCTGCTGCAATTAAGCTTTAGAGACTTACTCATTGCCTTCTACACTGAGACCCAAAGGATCTTCTTGTTGATAATTTGTAGGCGACAATGTCCTTCTACCCCAGACAATACTCTGCATAGGAGCTTCTTCTACCCACACAGCCGATTCCTTCATAGGGCCTATAGTCTCATGATAACCACGAAACTGCACCGTTGAGGTACCCTGTCCTCCACTTCGAGTGGTCACTATTATGTCACCGCGGCCCTTGCAAGGGCCCGATCTTGCTATAATTTTGTTGGACGACTTCCACTCGGCCGAAAGTAAGCAGTCGCAACCGCATATTGTCAGTCCTGTATATGACAGAAAATGCAGACCAAGACACTACATATATGTATATATATATACACACATATGTATATCTTTCTCTCTCTCGCACACACAATTCCGTGTGATTAGAGTGATTGATAGCTAAATATCAGTGTTCGGATGAGTTATGGAGATACAGGGGATATGTTTTTAGTGAAGCAATAAATTTTGTACTTGCGATAAACGCGACACTAACCTAAAAGGTCTTGAGCTTTATTTCCTAAAAACTCTCCGCGAACTATCACCCGAGTGCCAGGTGGGCCTTCTTTAGGCGATATCCCAGTGACTACAGGTGGAGGTCCCATTTCACAAACAATATCGTCGAGTCGTCAGAAACAACAACCTGTCACGCCTGTCTCATATAAATCGCACTGTATCACACTTATTCGATAATCATAAGAGGTTAGTTTTTCAAAAATTTCATAATGTTATTAGTAATAAACACTAGATGGCGCTAGACAGTCGGTTAAGCCTAAAGTCCCTAAATTTATAAAGTACCGCAACCCATAGGTTGCGTTCTTTTATTTGCAACAGAGGTAGCTGAATGCATCTCGTGGATGCATCAAAATTGCACTTTTTAAAGTTACTAGCTAGTGATGTACTGTCTCTAAAAAATAAATTTTTCTATTGGCTATTGGATCGTCGTATGTCCGACGTCGTGTCCCAATCAGTAATGTATCAGTATGGCTTTTATAAAAATTGTGAGAGAGAAAGAGAGGCAGTCTAATAATAATATCAAATAATGTAAAAAATGTCATTAATTGAAATCGATTTAGTACATGGAACATGGCCAGTTATTAAAAGATAAAGAGTCCTCAGAGTTAACTTTAGATGCTGTTATTAAAAACAAACCTCCAATAACTCCCACATTTGCAGTATCCATCTACAACTCATTAATAAATTAATTTTTCCATATTTTTTACTACAATTATCCCAGCAAACAAAATATTACTCTTATATAACATAGACGTAACACGTACTCTTGTTATATAGCAGTTCTATGTTATATAGCAGTTATGTCTTTCTTTGTTAAGATTGTAATATTTCGGGAGCGGTGCACTTGGACACGGTGCATTTGGACACAGCCAATCACAGCACCGTGTAATTAGAGACATTTGTAGGGTCCCTTGGAACAGCGACTTGTGATTGGACTGTGTCCAATTGCCCCGTGTCCAACTGATATACATCCAATATTTCGACTATATTTAATACACATTTTTATACATTTATTGAACATATTACATCAATTACTACTATTCTCTATCCTTTTCATCCATTAACCCAGACAGCACAAAATATTTATAAAATATTTACAAAATATTTATAAGATTTATTTGAATATTTTATGAATATTTACCAAAATGTTTCAT